AGTTGCAGGCAGCAGAGCCAGGGGCAGGGGGCAGGGGCAGGGCAGAAGGGCAGGCAGGGGCAGAGGCTGAGCAAGGCAAGCCAGGCAGAGGGCAGGGGCAGAGCAGGCGCAGGGTCAGAGGCAGGGGCAGGGCCATGCAGGGCAGGGGCCCCAGGGGACAAGGGGCAGAGCCCAGGGCAGGGCAGAGGCCCCAGTGGCGGGCAGGGCAGGGGGCCTGAAGGGCAGCGAAGAAAAGAAGCTGTGTATTAGTGAATACAGTTCAAAACGCCGAAAGAGCGATAGCCCAACAAAACAGTTAAGAAAGAAGAGGAGCAATAGACTAGACCACGAGAACAGCGGGGACGAGAAGTCTGCTTCATTACCCTCCCTACTTTCTCCTCTTTGCGCGTCGCGCGAGTAAGCCGCCTATCTAGAGAGAACAATTATCTCTCTGGTCGCACACATGCACACTCTTGCTCTTCTTTGAGCACCATTATCCCTCCTCCCACATGCCTACTGTCTCTCTCTAAAGCTCGCACATTGCTCTCGCGTGAACCCCAAGACCAGCTGACACCACTTTGCCCCACTTAGTGACCACCTGCCCCACTGCCACACAACTCCGCCAACTGCACACCGACCGCCTGCCACTGCCCAAACTGCCCCCTAAAGCCCTCTGCACCCGTGCAACCTCCTCTGACCCCAGCGCTGCGTGCCCCATGCTCTTGTGCCTCTGCCTCCAGCCTCTGCCCCTACGCCCTGCCTCTGCCCCCCTGCCCCTGCCCCTTGCCCCCTCTGCCTCTGCCCCTGCCACTGCGACTGCCTGCCTCTTGCCCTGCCTCGCACCCTGCCCCTGCCCTGCCTCTGCCCCCTGCCTTCTACGCCCACTGCCCTGCCCCCTGCCCTGCCCCTGCGCCTCCCACTGCCCCTGCCCCGTGCCCCTGCCTCTGCCCCTGCCCCTGCCTGCTGCCCCGACTGCCCCGCCTCGTCCACTGCGCCCTGCCGCGCCCCTGCCTCTGCCTCTGCCCCTGCCTTGCCCTTGCCACTGCCCCTGCCTCCGCCCCCTGCCACGGCCCCTGCCTCTGCCCCCTGCCTCTGCCCACTGCCTTGCCCCTGCCTCTGCCTCTGCCTCTGCCCTCTGCCCCTGCCCCTGCCCTGCCCTCCTGCCTCTGCCACTGTCCCCTCCACTGCCCTGCCCCTGCCTCTGCCAACTGCCCCTGCCTCTGCCCCTGCCTCTCCCCTGCCTCTCCCCTGCCCCTGCCTCGGCCCCTGCCCTCCCCTGCCCATGCCTCTGCATACTGCCTCTGCCCCTGCCCTAGCCCCTGCTCCTGCCATGCCTCTGCCCCTGCTCTGCCACTGCCCCATGCCGCTGCCCTGCCTCTGCCCTGCCCCTCCTCTGCCCCAGCCCGGCCCCTGCCCTGCCCTGCCTCTGCCCCTGCCTCTGCCTCTGCCCCTGCCTCTGCCTCTGCCCCTGCCCTGCCACTGCCCTGCCCCTGCCTCTGCCCCAGCCCCGGCCCCCTCGCCCCTGCCCCTGCCACTGCCCCTGCCCGCACCCTGCTTCTCCCCTGCCTCTGCCCCTGCCCCTGCCCTTGCCTCTGCCCCTGGCCCCTGCCCATGCCCTGCCCTGCCTCTCCGTATGACCCGCCCCTCTGCCTCTGCCCCTGCCTGCTGCCCCTGCTCTCCCCGCCTCTCCTCTGCCCGGCCCCTGCCTCTGCCCTGCCTCTGCCTCTGCCCTGCCCTGGCCCCCGCCCCTGCCTGCTCCCCTGCCCTCTGCCCCTCCTCTGCCCCTGCCACTCGCCCCTGCCACGCCCCTGCCCCTCCCCCTGGCTTCTGCCCCTGCCCTGCCTCTCCCCTGCCCTGCCTCTGCCCCTGCCCCTGTCTCTGCCCCTGCCCCTGCTTCTGCCCCTGCCCCTGCCACTTGCCCTGCCCTGCCTCTCCCCTCCCCTGCCCCTGCACTGCCCCTGCCCCGCCTCTGACCCTGCCCCGGCCTCTGACCCTGACCCCTGCTCTGCCCCTGCCGTCTGCCCCTGCCTCTGCCCTGCCTTCGCTCTGCCCCTGCTCCAGCCCTCTGCCCCTGCCCGGCCCTGCCCCTGCCGTCTGCCCCTGCCCCTGCCCTCGCCCCTGCCACTTGCACTGGCCCCTGCCTCTGCCCTGCCTCTCCACTTGCCTCTGCCCCTGCCCCGCCCCTGCCCTGCCCCTGCTCTTGCCCCTGCCCTTGCTACTGCCCCTTGCCACTGCCAACTGCCCCTGCCCCTGCCTCTGCCACTGCCCACCTGCCTCTGCCTCTGCCCCTGCCCCTGCCTCTGCCCCTGCCCCTTGCCTCTGCCCCTGCCCCCTGCCCCTGCCTCTGCCCTCTGCCCACTGCCCCGGCCCTGCCTCTGCCCCTGCCTCTCCCACTGCCCCTGCCGCTGCCCCCTGCCCCCTGCCTCTGTCTCTGCCCTGCCCTTGCCACTGCCCCTGCTCTGCCTCTGCCGGCCAATGCCCCTGCCCCTGCCTCGCCCCTGCCCCTGCCTCTGCCCCGCCTCAGCCTCTGCTCTGCCACTGCCCCCTGCCGCTGCCCCGCCTTGCCCCCGCCCCTGCCACTGCCCCGCCCCTGCCCTGCCCACTGCCCTGCCTCTGCCCGTTGCCACTGCGCCCTCCCCTGCCCTGCTCTTGCCCCTGCCCCCTGCCCCTGCCTCTGTCTCTGCCCCTGCCCTTAGCACTGCCCCTGCCTCTGCCTCCTGCACCCACTGCCCCCTGCCTCTGCCCCACGCCCCTGCCCCCTGCCCCTGCCTCTGCCTCTGCCCCTGCCTCTGCCCTTGCCCACTGCCCCTGCCTCCGCCCCTGCCCCACTGCCCCGCCCCTGCCTCTGCCCCTGCCTCTGCCCCTGCCACTGCCCCTAGCCCGCACTGCCCCTGCCCCTGCCACTGCCCTGCCGCTGCCTCTGCCACTGGCCCTGCCCCTCCCCCTGCCTCTGCCCCGGCCCCTGCCCCTGCCTCTGCCCGCTGCCCCTGCCCCTGCCCCTGCCCCTGCGACCCTGCCTCTGCCCCTGGCTCTGCCCCTGCCCCTGCCTCGCCCCTGGCCTCTGCCACTGCCCCTGCCTCTGTCCCTGCCCCTGCACCCTGCCTTTGCCCCTGCCTCTGCCCCCTGCCTCTGCCCCTGCCTCTCCCTGCCTCTGCCCTGCCCTCGCCCACTGCCCCGCCTCTGGTCCCTGCCCCTGCTCCCTGCCCCCTGCCCCTGCCCCTGCCTCTGCCCCTGCCCCTGCCTCTGCCTCTGCCTCTGTCTCTGCCCCTGCCCCTGCCTCTGCCCCTTCCTCTGCCTCTGCCCCTGCCTCTGCCTCTGCCCCTGCCTCTGCCTCTGCCCCTGCCCCTGCTGCTGCTTCGGCATCGGGCAGACAGGCGTTGATGAAGCTCTGGCTGCGTGAAAAGGATGCGCTAGAGGAGCTCTTGGCAACTGGAGAGGAATTGACGCAGAGCCGAATTCCCCTCTGTGAGGAGGCGCTCGGAGACGCAGTGCGTGTAGGGGGGTGGGGACGGTGGTCCCCGTGTCGAACACCTTGACAGTGTTTCATGCAACATGAGTGGGGAACCATCTCCATCCGTTAGTTATTAGTTCGGTGTGGGAAAAAGGTTTCCTTTTGTGGATACTGGAATAAGGGTTAGAAAGAACTGCGGTATAGTGAAAAGTCCAACCTACAGATAGATGTATGACGTTGCTTTACGACCCAGAGAAATCTGTGAAATAAATAAATTCCGAGAATTGACAGTGCCCGCAATCATGGGATGATTGACGGAATTTGCATATTGAAGATTCTGGGGAAAAAACTGAAAATCACGAGGACCAACAACGTTCTCAAGCAAAACTGAACTTAAATAATTCAAGCCATGGATCCAAATTCTGACTCATGAGCCCTGCCGGGCACCTATGTTACTGATTTACATTAAATATTGTTTCAGAACACTAATTCGTTATATACCATCGTATAAAATATTCTCCTATCAACCCACCTGTCGTCTTAAAAAATGTTATCTAATAGAAGAATGTATGTGGAATTACAGTACTAGTTATAAGAGTTAGATATTGCTTTGATTTCTAGAATAATGTACATTCTATTACACAATTATTCATATTGTTATTGAGTCATAAACATTTAAGTTATAATTAACATTTAATAAACGTAATTATCGTGTTTCCAAGCGAACCTTTCCCCGTCTCTTCCATACCATAATTGGAACACTGTGCACCCACCACTGGGTCGGGCACTTCCTTTGCTTGGCCGCTCCATTCGGATCAGGAGAGCAGATTTCTGTGACGTGACAGAACATTGACTTGGCAAGCCAGCACACAGCATCTATTTTAAAGTACATGTGTAATGTCAAACGCTACTTCGATAATTTTCTCGACAAGTAGCGGTGCGAGCTTCTACCGTTGATTTAATTCACAAAAGCAACTCCTCGTTAGAGAGGGTATTGTCTAGGACAACCCGCGTGTTTATTGTGCCAGTTGGTTTCCGCAAAACCGAAATTCATACTCTGAAGGTTTGCGAACGTAATTTGGTGGTGTACGTTGTTATCTCATGTTGTAGATGTCGATGGTCCAGTGGTCTGTAGGATACACCAACGCTGTTCGGCAGGGCGAACAACTAAGTTTCTGTGGTTTCCCTCTGAGCCGGGAAGGTGAGTGAAATATTTTGAGTTCTCATAATGAGTTATGAGTTCCTGTAGCTGGATGGAAATAAGTTACTGCTTGTTGCATTAGATAGTTTTATCAGACTTAAAATAATTGCATTTGTTACCCATACATCCCAATTGAAAATACAAATTATTTGTTAATTGTGTATTGTAAGTTGGTAACTTCATTTCAATCTAGTATTGTGCCATTTCATATCATTCTGTATGTTTCACACAAATCAAGAGATTTATAAATCAAGAAATGTGCAATAGTGTAACATTTGTAAAATATAATACTTGACAAATTACTGTCTGTTGTTTCTGCATTAGAGTTTTCAGACATATGTTTTCATTACAGGTGCCCTAAGTGGCTTCTGTTCTGAGACCTGAAGGATAGAAAGCAGTCAGCTGAAGTCAGAGGAGAAGAAATCTGTATTGAATTAAAATATCATTGAGTAAGTTATGAGGAGTGCCTTTGATTCCTGAATGAATAGGCAAAGTCATGGAAGAATTGAAAGCTCAGTAAATAGGTTTCGTATGTACAGAAATTGTCAATATTCTTCCACCACAAATATGTACTCCTTTGCAATCTTCCTTAATGAATGTATGTCCACAAATCCTGCCTCTTTATATCCTCTCCGTTTGTCTGGATTGGATACAAATATGATGAGTTCGAAGAAAACGCGTGTTTTAAACCACCAAAAACAAATATTCGAAATTTGCATTGGGATATGTAGCTTTTTTAGACTGAAGTCCATATCTGGAAGAGAAACAAAAACCATGTGATCTGAATGATAAGATTCTGAATATATTGTGATAGAATCTCCCTCCTTACTTATAATCTAGTGACAGCAATTCCTGTGTTGTAATAATTTTAGTGATGTTGCTAAAAGACTGGGCTGCGCATGTAATTCAGTAATTACAAATTTAAAACCAACAATTAATCAGGAATACTAAAATGAACATTTATGTCACCGTTATAGAATCTATGTGAATTCCAATTGTACTTGTTTTACTAATCATTTTGGTAAATATTAGGTATAATTAAATAATTATATTTTAAACTATTGAAAATGGTTTATACCAATGTAAATAGATAGGAAAATTGTATTTTCCTTGCAAGTAAATTGTCATGAATGCTACATTTGATTCCATAATTCGGTTGACAGATATTCGTGTAATGGAAGGCTAACGGCTCGGGTCTAGGTGGTCTCAAATATGTGGAGTTTGTGACAGTTTATTTTCAGTATAATTATGTGATGCATCAGTAATAGGACAAACAAGGCAAAGATTATATCTAAATACACACCAAATCTGATACAATATGCAAGTCATTCTATTATTTAGATCTATTAATGCTAATTGCACTATATATAAAATGAGTTTGTTTGATATGACTTGTACATTTTGTGAAAATAATATTATAATTGTGCTAATACAGATACATAGATTTGTATGTCCAGATCTATTTATAGTGTTATGTGCCTAGAATACTAGATTATTCTGTTGAACCTCTATTGTACTGCTGTATGATCATGTAAGATTGTTTTCAAAATGAAATATATATGATATCTTATGAATACTTTACAGAAAAATATGTTTCATAATTGCCAGTTGATTCTTCCCCTACCCAAATTCATTCTCTTATTTTTTAAATAAGCACGCATCGTCTTAGGGCAGATCGTCATTTTTTCACCTTTATTTTAAGGTTGCTAATCCGCCTCTATTAAAATCTTTGTAAAATATTTTGTATTTATATGTCATCACTCTCATGGTCAGTCATTATCATCTTGATTACAATAAAGTGTATTTCACTGCCAATTCAATGTTTCTCTGCCATTCAATTCATTTTGTATATGAAATTCCACGCTCATCCCGCTCCCTATAGCGCAGAAATCGCTGGTGCAATAACCTTATGTCGGTAGGAATATTCCTCCTCTCGTGATCTCTTTTTAGTTATTTTCCTAATAATTTTCAGGCTAGTTCAGTTATGGTCTAAGGGTTTTTTTTATTTTCTATCGTGTTTTTATCTTAGAGATGTTTGTTATTCTAATCGTGCAGGCTTGAAAATATACTGCTCTACGATGTCTCAGCTGATTTGACAATAATGATAATAGTAATAATAATAATAATAATAATAATAATAATAATTATTATTATTATTATTTATTGTATTATTTTATTTATCATGTACAAATGTTATATAATACAGACATAGATTCTCGGAATAATTCACAACGTGTCCTTAAAAACATTTCAAGTAGTTATACAATCTTCCTTGATAGTTTGCTTTTCTCCTTCCTTGGTAGTCACAAAAACATTAAAAAAGCGATTTACTCTTGAGGAAGCGCCGCAAAGTTTTTCATCCAAAAATATAGGACCGGACACGTACAATCCTACTGTTCACAACGTTTGAGATTGAAATTGGAAAGCAATGAAGTGCGGAGAAGCGCCGGACCACCTAATATGCAATAAAATGCCCGAGAATATCTCAGCCTGTAGATTACATTGTAAGGAATGTTTCTTTGAAGTCTGCAAGTCTCCGTGAAATTCCCTTTCTGTAGAGACCTCGTTTATAGATAATGGTTACGTGTGAGCCGCAAAACTGTAGTACACTACTGAAATAATATAGGAGAGGAAGGATACACTTTGGTATTTCTAAAGAGTTAATGCTTAATTTTATATCTCGTGTATTCCTGTTTGTTTATTCAATATCATCAGTTTAATGCCGTTTCACACTTAGCACGTAAAAGAATGGCAGCTTCCAGAGCGGATGCCGGTGGAGGCGAAGGGCCTCTTTGTTGGCAACGAAAATGCAGATTCCCCCTACACGTCCCCGGCGCTTCACGAGCAACAATAATATTCCTTTCCTAAGTATTTTTACTTTGACATCATACTACGTTTTTACGTAGTAAAGACGAAGTATTGCAATTCTGCGGCCCATTGAAACTGATATTTTCATTTTGTTATTTACATAAAGCTTTAACATTTTCAGAATTTTCTGAAAAACCAAATGTTTTGATTCTTTTTTTCGCGAATACACAAAGGCTTTTCAAAATGACGGCAAAACGTCTGTCATCTTGTTATTGTTTTATAGAGTTAGTTCCAAAACAAATAAATATTACTGTTGTAGTAAGTTGAACTGAAAGTACCTTTAGTGTATACTGCACAGAGCAGTCTCTGTGCGTAACATTATTCTTTTCTACCCGAACTATAATCCTATTTATTAGTATTGCATAATTAAAAAGTAGACGTGTGAAAACAATTTTATAATAAACTGCGAAAGAGTTCCGCTTTCCATTTCACTGGAGTTGTAACGCTACATCAGACGGCGAGTTGTAGCAGCGATGGCAGGGTCCCTTCGAGCTCATTCGAGTTCGTTTCCCGCAAGAGATGAAGCTTTTGTCATTTCCTGGGAGTGCGACGCGTGCAACACTGAAACGCCAGCAACTGATGAGACATCTTGTAGTAGTAGTAGTAGTGGTGGTGGTGGTGGTGGTGGTGGTGGTGGTGGTGGTCGTGGTCGT